GTCATCTACTGCCGCCTGTGGCGGGGGCCGGACCTCCATAGCCACCATGAGCTGCGCGCCATGGAGATGTGCGAGTTCGCCTTCAACATGAAGAAGGACGAGGTCTGCGTGAACCCCTACCACTACCAGCGAGTGGAGACGCCAGGTACCGCCACCGCGGCTCCAAAACTGCCTTCTGAAGGGGATAAAGCAGCAGGGCTGCGGGCTAAAACCAACACGTAGCATCACTGATGACAGTCCCCTACTATAGGCACTAAAGTGTTTTCTGAATCTGCACTGGGCTGGGGGTTAAATATGATTGAAAACTCAGTAAGACCCAAGGCTATGGTATTGCCAGGTCCATGATGTGGCACTGTGTGCACACAGACTCACACGGGTAGCAGATAAAAGCACAGGCTTTGGCAGTGTTCTCAGGCTCCCTAATTGTTGGTATTAAATTAGTGCTGAGTGTACTGCTAAGTACACTCGAGCTTCCTGTTCTGGAGTCGTCCCGCTGCCTCTGGAAGAGACTTTCATGTGTAGCTGTAGGTTACACATGAAATCTGTGTGTGCCAGCCCAGATCTGCAGAACCAGTCTGGAAAATCGGTGCTAGACCTAACTTGCAGTTACATTTGATGCGATGTTTCTCTTGAATCTCCTGTTATAACTTCTCTTAAATGCTTTTCAAAGCAGAGCTATTAATTTGGCTATGAAGATACAAACACCCAGACTAGGTGTGTTCAGATAAGCAAATACCCCCATTCCCAGCTGAGATAGGTTAAGAATAGCATCTCCAACTGCTGCTCTTATCTCAGAAGAAAATATCTAATTGCATCCCTTGATTAAGGACTTTGCAGTTGTGTGTAGTAAGGGTGTTAGTCTAAACTGGTTTCTCTTCATTTCCTAGCGTTTCAGTCGTTTTATTTTAAATAATGCTGCTGTTCTCTGTATTTTTTTTCCCTTTGTGCAGTGCTGCCGCCGGTGCTGGTGCCTCGGCACACCGAGATTCCCGCCGAGTTCCCGCCCTTGGACGATTACAGTCATTCTATTCCCGAGAACACTAACTTCCCAGCAGGGATCGAGCCACAGAGCAACTACATTCCAGGTACCGGGAACCTTCCATCCAGCAAGGAGGGAAAAGGGACACTGTGCCCTGAGAATTGGGTGTGCTCTGTGGAGCTGCAGGAGTGGAAAGTCTTTGGCTCCGTCACTGCTCCGGAGCTAAGGAGTGGGATCCAAAACCAAAATAGATAAAAGCTGTAAATGTAGCCACACAGCAGTGCTGTTTATAGTTTTGTTTTGCTTGCTTTAAATTCGCCTCTTCCCCTCAGTAGTGCATACCCAGAATTTACTGTGGATTCTAAAGCTGAATGTTCCCTTGACAAGTTTAGCGTTGAATGAAATTCAGTCATTGGAGTTTGGGTAAAATCATGTAAATTTCCATTGAAATTGAGCTCTTGCAGTTACGTCTCTCTCTTATGAGCAGTTTACACCTTATTTGCATGGACAAGCTATGCAGCTGCGCACCAGGGAAGGAGAAAATCTGGACAGAAAACTGCCTACTTGGCATAAAATCTTATCAGACTGCAAATCCGGAGGTCTTTTTCCCCCCTCCTCTGTTATTCCCAGATAGGCTATGCCCCTCATTCTGACAATTTGACTCCTTGTGGTTCTAGAGACACCCCCTCCAGGCTATCTGAGTGAGGATGGAGAAACTAGTGACCACCAGATGAACCCCAGCATGGATGCAGGTAAGTCATCTCCTGCCATTCAGTGCAGCTTCTATGTCATATCAGAGAGACCTTTAACTTTTTTTGTTGGAGCACTGAAGTTCAGATGCTGTTTTGAGGTATTTTATCCCTGTAGGAATGCAAGTGCAGTCAGACAGCTCGTGTATGGTATAACCCTATATGCTCTGTGCTTTTTTGGTGCAGGGTGCACCATGTTCCTGTTCTCCCCAACATCCATCCTTAGATATTACTAAGCAGCAGCCTGGAAGAGCAGAGAGTTTGTCTTGCAGCGTGACCCTGCACCCGTACACACATGAAAGCTGTGCATGTGGTTGGCACGTTGTACAGAGGCATTTTTCTGATCATTTGGTTGTTTACTTTGGAAATGACTGCTAGCAGATTGGTTTTAAGGGGCTATATCCCATCCCTGGGCCTATATCCCGGTGAACATTAGAGTTTCTTTCTCACTGCCAAGAAAACAAGTTGTTTTATATTAGATTTAGAGGCACCTGTCTCAGCGTTCAGGCTAAGCTGTGTTGACACTTTAAAATTAAACGTGCGGGTCTGATCTTTCTGGGAGTAGCTGACTATTAAGCCATCCTCTTGCTCTGAATGGTGTCACTGCTTGTGAGGAGGAATTGCTGAATCCAGCTCTGAATTTCCATAACTTTGGCTTGAAAAGCAAACACACATTTCTTGTTAGAAGGGCTGATGCAAGAGGGATATGCAAATCCCTAGCACTTAAAGAAGCAGAGGCGTGCAGAACCTAATTAATGCAAATGCTGCACACAAGTGCCTTGGTTTCTGTGCATGTCTTTAGCTGTCGAGTGTATGTGGGATTCTAAAAGAGGGGTGGCTGATTTACAGCCTTGCACCGCAGCGGGACGGATGGAGGAAGGCCGTGTGGGTTGGTTTGTCTACATCAAACATAAGCCTATTGACACAATCCATTTTAGCACATACAATTATTGGTGATGTGGTTAGCGTTTGGAATGTATATGGGAAAAGAGTACTGGAATGGGATTGGCCTGGACAATGCTATAAATACCCAATTTATGTTCTCAAATGCTACGTGTATTCCGCCTGCCTTTCTTACATTCCTTCAGATGTCATGGGCTTCCCACTTTATAGAAAAACAAATTTTAAAGAAGCCAGCTGAGCTCGGTGCAGGAAAAAAGAAAGAAAGAAAGAAAGAGGGTCTGTAGCACTTTTCTGCTCACGTGTTTGTCCAGAGACTGTGGAAGTTGCTCTGGACTTCTGGGTGCAGTTACTGTAAAAATAAGCGCAAAATATGTGGACCAAATTGAAATGACTGAGGCTAAAATTCTGACAGTTGTTTACTCAGGCCTGCATAGTTTGAGCCCATATTCATTTGTCCTGACAGCAAGGAGTAGCAGGTTGAACTCGTTTTGCACTGTTATGTGTGAGTATGTTTTATGCCTGACATAGCAAAGTTGAGCTCTTAAATCTCCAGCTAACTGGTTTGGAGTGTAACAGCCATCATGGTACTTGTAGTTTTGATAGCTGCTTGTGAAAATAAAATGGGCATCTGCATGCCTAGGTTTGAAATTTGGTGGGTTAAGACTACGTGGTTGCAGCCTGAGGGTATTCAGACCTAGGAAGTTAATGCAGTCAGTAGCAGTGGAGTCAACATCAGTGTAACCAGCATCAGAGAAGCTGCTGGTGTCACTGCATGAAGTTTAACTGAGCAAATGGGATATCCTTGCAACAAGCTGAAGATTGTGTGTATTTCCCATTGTGCAGTTACTAATAATTATGTCTTGGTTTTCAGGTTCTCCAAACTTATCACCAAATCCTATGTCTCCAGCACACAATAATCTTGGTAAGCATATGGTCCTGAAAACTGACTGTAATTACTGTCAAGATAGTGACATTTTATTGATGATGCTATTTCTGGAGGTTGTGCACTTTTGATAAGGTTGTGACCCCTGACGATGCTCCTTTCTGCTAATCTCTGTGGCTTGTAGTAGTTCTATATGAGATAAGTCTGAGCTTGCATCATAGAGTTAAATGAAGAACAAGAAATGGTGACAGATGAATACCAGAAAGAACAAGTGAAAAATTGCAACAAAAGTGCTTTGGTTTGATGAGACAACTTTTTGTTTCCTTTGAAAGGACATATAGTAAAATACATATACTAACTCAAGTAATAGTAGCCGTTTAAAAGAGTGCTTGCCTTTGAGATACTGTTAGAGGTTTTGTGGCTACCTCTGGACCTCTGTTACCCTTTTGGATAGTTCTGCCCTTTATTTTTGTGCCTACAGACAAGGAGGACATGAACTTCACTGGTTCTTTGCTTTTACCCTATGTGAAATTGCTCTCAGCAGCCAATCATTTAAAAAAAAGGAAAAAAAAGCCCCCCCCCCATAGCTCTGTCTAGCTGCAGGATCAGTTCTCTAAATGCTCATTGAGGCAGCAGACATGGGCCACTTGAGATTACTCCTCGAGAGCCATAAAGCTTGCGTATGCTTTTAGCCCTGTCAGAGGGTACTTTGACACTGCTCCAAAATTTGTCAGTCGTTGGCTGACTTATAGAGAGCTTGGAGCTGTTGAAGGAGATTTCTTTTCTCCTTTTTTTTTTTTTTTTGAATCCATTATGCTCAAGTGTGCAGCCTGGGACTTGGGAATTTCTAGCACTTGGTGTCAGCCTGAAAATAAAAAGCCAGTTACAGGCAACAAAACCAACCTGGCGAGTCGCCTGCGGCATCTGCCTTTTGTATACGGAGAAAAGGAGTTTCTAGGAAAGAGGCCCCGTTGCAAATCACTCCAGCCAGGACACTGGTTATTAACACATGCTGCTCAGCTGGTGGGTTGAAGATGTCTCATGTGCTGCGTGGTGACAAAACTCCGTGGGATCAGGCGAAACTTGTTAACCACAAGGAGTCTCTTTGTAATCTAGGGAGCAGCATCAGAAAAACATTTTTACTCATCAACATGAAAGGAGAACTCTTAGGTTTTACAAGCCACGTATTTATTGCCTTTAGGTAAGAACTTCCACAAAGAGCCTCTCTCTAAAAACATTCTATTGTAAATCCCTGTACCCAAGGATGCTGTAAACTCAAAGAAGTGGCACATATATGAACAACTGCCACAACTGGCTGTGCCTCTTAATTCAGTAGATCCGCAGAACACTTCAGTGGCCAGGGCTGTGCTTGTATTTGCAGAGGCCTTATCAGGCTTTCTTTGTATGTTTGTTAAGAAACTTGAACAGAAATTTAAGGAGCACAGCGCTGTACAACACTGGAGATCTTTTCGCAAGCTCTCCGTAGTGGAATGTGTTGTTTCTCTGTGTTTTTGCGTTTTTTGTCTGTTTTGCAGTTGTGCATTAAGGAACTAATGTTGCAGGATGCAGCCCTCAGTTTATTTAAACATAGCTACCTGATGCCTTTAAGACAGTTTACTTAGTGTAAGCTGAACTTTGGCCTGATATCCCATGGTCAAAATGTCCCATATTCCCCAAAACTGCAAAGGTGATAAACTGCTTTGGACAACAGGCACAGGTTTTCTTGAGTTGCTGTATAAGTGTTTCAGTATAAGGCTGTAAGACTGTAAAAGGGGAGTGAAGGAACCCAGGGAATTGCAGTTCACCTTATTCCCAGACACAAAATGTGCTGCAAGGTAACATATTGGAAATGGCTTTTTCTTTTTCCTCCTCTCAGCGCGTGTGTTTGATTTGGAAGCGCTCTAGTTTGGGTCCAAACTTTCAGTTGTCAGGCACAAGCTCTAAATGGAAGTTATAAATATCCAGTGAGCTCTTCTGCTTAAACTCGAACTGGAAAAAACACAGAAAACAAGCAAGAATGACGGCGGCCTCGCCAGCGTGGCCGGGCGCCAGGAGAGCCGGTCCTGGGAGCGAGGCAGCCCTCGGCACGCAGGAAACCTGCAGCAGCCTTTGCTGGACACCAAAACTGGACACCAAAGCTCTTGAGTGAGAGCAGAAAAGGCACACGGGGACCTTTGGTGCAGCCCTCGGCCAGCTCCCGTGGTGACGGCCTGTTCTGCGAGGGAGGAGAGGGCCCTTCTCGGAGCAGGGTGTGCATCAGAACCAAAAATTAATAAAGCAGGTTCTGACACAGTTGTAGAACAACTATTAAACTGCTAATGCGCATTGTGTATCAAAAGCATGAGCTGAAACTAGGGTAGCAACTGCATAACTGCAGCACATGCTGTAGCATGTGCAAAGCACCCAGCAGTTTTTGTGCTCTGCAGCGGAGCAGGTTGTGCTGTTGTCTCGCAGGGAAGCAGCAGCGTGGTCAGCGTGCCAGGATTCAAGGGGCACTTACCCGTGTTGCACAACCCCCATGCATTTGGCATGATAAGGACCCGTTGGCGTGAGGAAAATCAGGGCTTGTAAAAGCAAAGCTCCGGTGAGTCAGGGTTGAAAGGCTCTGGCAGAGCCGCGGGGAAGATCCAGGCAGGATTTACTTGAGTTTAATGTATTATGGTTGAGTTGATTGTGTTGGCCCTCTGGGTACAGAACTACATTGGCCTACTTTTTGCCAAGCTGTAAATTCATAAAATTCAAAATGAATGTTCAGTGGGCACCTAATACAACATGAGGGGTAACTCAGCCATTCCAGCCTAAGCCTGAGACCACAAATCACAGGAGAAAGCAGCAGCATTAAAAGCTCAGCTGCGTTTCTGAGAGACAGGCTTTTCTCTGCAGTAAGATTTGTTGGTTTGTGTCTTCCAGCAGGTTGCAGGAGGAGTGGGCACCATCTCGTGCAGCATTTTCAAGAATATCTGACATGAGTCTCCCTGCTCTGAAATCAGTAGTAAAGCTCTCATTGGTTTCAGTGGGAGCAGTTAAATCATTTAAAGCCCCTTGACTGCCCCATTTTTGTGCATATGAAGTATCATCCTCCTGAGACTGCCTCAATTTAAAGGAGTTTGATGCCACTGTTGTGCAAGATCGTGTGTATTGCAAATAGCTACTGCTTTCTGCAATGCTAGAGGGATGTGACGGAGCCAGTCGGAGCCAAAGTTGAGTTGCTGGCTGCTTTGCTGTAACTGCCCCGAATTAGTGTTCCCGAGACCTGTGTTGTTGAAGCAGGTTTGTGGCCTGCTGTTTCCTAAGCCCTCAGTTTCCTCCTCCTTTCTTCTTTGCTCTTTTTAAGGTATTGGCTACCTAAAAATTTCATTGAAAAGCAAGATTTATTTGTAGAGTTTTCTCCGAGTGTGACGGTGGTTGAGTGGACACCCCCCGTGCTAGGTGACTGGTGCCTTGACCCCTTGTGATCATTCCATGTGCCAGAAGCTTTGGGAATGATCAAACTCCCTATGTGCAGTCCGTTAAAATCAAGCTTGTCAAGTGATTAAAGCTTGGTGGTTAAAGGGATCCCAAGAAGTGAAGCAAAACGCTACTCCAAAGCAGTCTCCTTTTCCACGTCCATGTCTCGTATCCTGTGTGGTTCATTTTGCTCTGGCTTCATGCAGATTTGCAGCCTGTTACCTACTGCGAGCCGGCCTTCTGGTGCTCCATCTCCTACTACGAGCTCAACCAGCGCGTGGGCGAGACGTTCCACGCGTCGCAGCCCTCCATGACCGTGGACGGCTTCACCGACCCGTCGAACTCGGAGCGCTTCTGCCTCGGGCTGCTCTCCAACGTGAACAGGAACGCGGCGGTGGAGCTCACCCGGCGGCACATCGGTAATCCCGTCTCCCGGGTCGCCTGGGAGGGAGGTTCTGCACCGGGAGCTGCTTGGTTGCAACAGCCGCAGAGCTGGGTTCGTTCTGCAGCTCCAACCCCGCAGTATCTGCGGTCTTTCATAGAGAAACACAATTCTTTTCATAAAGGTGGAGTAAAGAAGACACGTAGAAACACTAGAATTGTTGCATGTGACAGAGATGAACCAAATTTAAGCTTTTACATCTACTTTTCAGAGCTTTATTTGAGTGGCTGTGAGTGGAAGTCTTGTTTGTGCCTTTTCCTTTCTGCACTATTTTCTTACCAACTGTTCTCATCACAGAAACTTAGCTGATTGATTTTTCACCTCAATTCCCCCTTCTCCATGTTCTGCAAGCTAGGATTCAATTTTGTTCTCAATTAAACTCCCAGACTTATGTAATTTTAATGAGAGGCAAAAGTGCGTAAGCTTTGCTTTATTTTCTGCTAACTCCCATCAAAAACCAACCCATTTTGTCTTGATTTTGTTCTCCCTTATGCCCTTTCTTAGGCAGCTGAACCTTTTTACAGGGAAATCTTTTATTATTTTTTACTATGATTTATAATGCAAAAAAAAAAAAGAGAAAATCTGAAATCAGACATGAAATTAAGCAGATTTCTTATGCTGCATGGAAGAAAGAATGCAGGATTTGTAAATAGCAAAGTAAGACCACACCACAGCAGATGTTTATTTGAGTAACAAAGATGAATTCCTGAAATTTGTTTCTTTATTAACAGAGATTTTAATGATTTGTAGGAACTTATATGGGAAATGTATGTTTGTCCTTGCGTACACATGTAATCTCAAGCAAGAGGCAATTGTTTGAAAATGTTGCATAATTTAATTCCCATTCAGTAAGTAAGTAAATAAATAAACAGTTGTATCCAGCTGTGGTGACTTGCGGAGAAGGCTGAAAATCGTATGTTAACTGACAGAAGGGTCATATGGAAAATATCAGAGGCGCCTCTGGAAGAAGCCGTGCGTGAGCGGACACGTTTGTGCAGTCCGGTCTCCTGGGCAGCTGGACAAAGTTCATCTCTGACTTCATGAACTGCTTTCCCAGGACCACAGATCACAGAGCTAACGTCCTGCTCCGTAGCCGGGGTGGCCAGTGGGCCGGAGAGGCGGATTTCGCTCTCCGTCACTTGCAGCTTCGCTGCTTTGGGAGTTCTCTCCAGTGCAAAGGTCGTTTATATCTTTACCTGCTTATATGTTTGGCAGATACAAGTTTTAAGTTAACCCAAACTGTGCCGTGTGTTTCCTAGGAAGAGGAGTGAGGCTCTACTACATTGGCGGGGAGGTGTTTGCTGAGTGCCTTAGTGACAGTGCCATTTTTGTGCAGTCTCCCAACTGCAACCAGCGCTACGGCTGGCACCCCGCGACGGTCTGCAAGATCCCTCCAGGTAAGGAGCACGCGCGCTCGGAGGCCCCGCACCCTGGAAAACCTTGGAAAACAGGGCCCTGCTGTGGACGGAGAGCTGCTCTTCCTGGCAGGTTTGGATTTGCTGTCCTCTGTTCTGGACAGTCATCAGAAACTCTATTTTATGCAAATAAAACAACTTGTCAGCTTGAGCAGGACCTGGCTTTAGCAGAAAGGGCAAAGGTAGGAAAAAGGAGGCTACTGGGTGTTCTCCAACAAGTGTTTGCCCTGTGTTTGAGGAAACAGGAAAAAAAACTATATCCAGATCTGAGCAGAACCAAGAGCAGAATCTGCCACTTGTTCCACGCAGTATTTTATCACTCCCATCATTGTTGGCCAGATATTAATTACTTGGTACACGTAATTGTGTCTGTACCTTTAAGTAAAAGAAGATATGCAAGAAAATTTTGTTAATTTAGATTCACCTATAGTCATTTTAAATTGGTGCTTTTTTTCTGCTTCGTAGTAATGCTTTTTCTCCTTTCATGAATGAGTTTTATTCCAGAGAAATCATGTTTTCAGCACATTTTTGTTGTTGTCCTGGTTACAGCACACATATGTCTAAAGTATACTTGAAGTTTACAAGGAAATTTATTGCATCTGTCTAGGGAGAAAAACACTTTATATGTTGGATACATGCAGGAATTAGTATGAGAGGATGCCTTTCAATAGGGAATTTAGCTAGGCTTATGAACGCTAATGCCTTACATCTAAAAGTAGGTATATATTTAAAAACCAAGCATTTTTATTTAGAAATATTTGAATAAAGACTGTCCCTCTTTAGAGGACAGATCTGTGTGCTTCAAGCTCTGGCCCATCTTAATGGGTTTCCTTTCTCCGAGGCAGTTGCCAGTGCTGCAAACATGACTTAATTCTGCAGCCACATCACAGGAGTCCACCCTGGCTGGAGTCAACATCTGAGGACAGAAGCAGCCCACGTTTCCGCTGCACATCCATCTAAGGCACATTTCTTGGACTGCAGCTCTCCCCACTTCGCCACAGTCTTTAGCTGCCTTTTCAGATTCTTCAAATGATCTTTGCTGGGTTTGAAGTAGTTTCTTCATTCCCGTGTTGACAGGAGCTGATTTTCCTTCTCCTCTCATGCACAAGAGACCCGTTCCCGTCCAATCCTGGGAATCCAAACAGCCTTCCTTGCCGTAGCTCCTCCGGGGGGCTCAGCCTGGCCCTGATGTCCTTCAAGCCCTTGGCCCACCTGACATTGCAGTGTGGGTGACACATCTACCCTTGAAACCTGCTGCAGGATCCAGGCCTCGTGGGCTGAGCTCTTTCAGGGTCACACAAGTGGGTAGCGGATTCTGCAGCTGCTGAGCTCTCAGATGCAGCTCTGCCCTGCGGTTCGACCCAAAACAGATGTCCAGCCCAGCAGAATGTGCTCAGAAATAATTTCTAAAAAAAAAAAAATACAGCTCGTCACAGTCCAAATGGTTGTTTTTCAGACTTGGCCCATATGTAATCCCAAATGAGCACTAGTTCTGTGCCAAGTCTCGGAGTTTAACTGGTTTCTGCTTATCTGGGAGAAAGCAAGCACAGCAACAGTTCTTTTTGAGAGAGGGATCTCTATATGAATTTATTTATTTTATCTGCAGGAAAATGATTAGGTTTCAGCTTTACAACCCAAAAACAGAGGAATGTGTTTTTCTCAGTCTTTTCTCAGTCTTTGTGACTAAATGCAGGGGGAAAATTTCACTTTTAATGGAAAGTTCTTTGTCCCATCATGGTGAGATGAGGCACACAGCAGAAAGAGCTTTGCCAGCAGCTTTTTGGGCCCTTTTTCAATACCTGGGTGCTGGCTTGCCGGATGCAGTGGCACTTCGTAACTTCTGCATTTCTTCTGCTGGTGGAGACCACGTAAACCCAGCACCGGGGAGTTCCTATTTTTGGTTTGTGCATTCCTTTATTTGAGGCTCTGGAGCAATTGCTGTTGCCGAGCGTTGTGGTTACAGCAAGATTTTTCAATTATAATAAGAAGGAAACGTTTGTAATGGAGGTAGAAAGGGGTTCCACAAGGGGATCCTAAGTCTGGTCTTTTAAACAGCAAGCCGTGCAGGAGCATGGGTGTTCCTCATTCTTGTCCTGTAACATGTTTTTTTTTCCTTTTCAGCATATGGAAATGTGGCAATTTTAATTCCTTTTCTGCAATGCTGTGTTTAAGCAATCTCTGTATATTACCACATGGTTTAGGGACATGGGAAAGCAGCGTTGAGTTCCTTTCCATTCTCAGGAAGAAACGTGCTTTCTGATTCTCGTTAAGCTGACGCCTTGCTTTTCGTCGTGCTCCTTTCTCGCAGGGTGTAACCTGAAGATTTTTAACAACCAGGAGTTCGCGGCTCTCTTGGCCCAGTCCGTGAATCAGGGTTTCGAAGCCGTCTACCAGCTGACCAGGATGTGCACGATCCGCATGAGCTTCGTCAAGGGCTGGGGCGCGGAGTACAGGTGAGGCCCTCGCCGCAGCTCCGCGCTCTCCGTTGCCGCTCCGTATCCCGCAGCCCGCACGCCGGGCTGGTCCGTGCAGCCGCTTTGCTCCACTGCCAGGATAGGGGCGATCAGCAGAGCGCTCCTTCTGCTGCTGCAGGTGGGTTGTGCTTGCTGGCAATGTGTGGCGCTCAGCTCCTTTTTCCCCCATTTTATTTGCATAAAACCTGCATTATGGGATAGACCTGGAAGACTCTGTGCATTTGGTTCCAGTGTTGAACGGACCAAGAGCTTTTTGCCTGAAGCACAGAAGACGAATCCAAATTATCTGCATAGGAACGATTACATTTTTTTCCCCTTAAAATTTGATTTAAATTTGAGTGTCTTACGGCCACATTGCTTTCAAGACAGAGTCAGTGTGTTTCCTAGCAGACTGCAATTGAGTTTGGCGTTTCTTTTGTTGGAGCGTAATGGGATTGAAATGAAAGCAGATGGATTTGAAAATTCACTTTTGGAAGAGTTGCTACGGTTGCTGCAAAATTTTAGTTAAATTCGTCATCCATTTCTTAGTGAATGTTATAGGACAGTGGCTTAGATGTGCCTGGAGGTAGCAGAGACCCTGGTCACTATTATTGTAAGTGAACGTGGGATGTGAAAACAGCAGAGGCGGATGGGGCCCGTGCTTGGGAGCGACGTGTGTGTCCTGACAGCGCAGGGACGGGGACAGGCTGGGGACCGGATACCCCACGGGCTCCAGGGCCCCACGTGCTGCTGCCGCTTCAGGGCTCTCCTAGGCCAATGTCCCTGAGGAACAACGGGGAGAAAAAGAGGGTATTTCATGGTACAAGGAGAGGTGAAGAAAATTCATCCGAAAATGGGTGTAACAAGAGGAGAGGAAAAGCTGTGGAGGATTTTAAGCTGAGAAATACTCAACTGGGCCCCGCTTAGATCTGGGGTAGCGGAGGGGCCACCCTGCATGGGTGCCTCCCGCTCCCTCTCCATTCCCTCCTGCTCCCTCCCGCTCCCTCTCCATTCCCTCCTGCTCCCTCCTGCTGCCTCCCGCTCCCTCTCCGTTCCCTCCTGCTGCCTCCCGCTGCCTCCCGCTCCCTCCCCGTTCCCT